CTCTTTTTCTTGCTTGTTTGTTTCGGAATGGAATCTTTGTACCTGTGTGATGCGATAACAATGTACGACGCATGAAAAGATTCGCCAGGTACGGTTGAATAACTCCCGACAGTATCACTACGAGTGCGACGAGTACAGCGAGTACATATACTCTGTACCCTCTCCGTCCCCGTCCCCGTCCCCATACTCGCGCTCCTTGCCATTCACTGATTGGATTGAGTGAGACGATGGCAAAAATGAGCTACGGAGTAGTAATTTCGGTAGCAACAGTTGTGTAGTACTAATAATAATACACAACTTTGGAGCATTGATACTCTGTGAATACCCTATCTGGAGAGAGAGGGAGAAGAAGACGAAGACGAAGAAGCATCGTACTGGGCCAATCTGAACTCCACTCCACTTCAACACCCCCCCCCCCCAAACTCTACAAGTATGAAATAGCCTGACAGGTATAGGATGAGGTTTCCAGAAAGAAGAAGAAGAAGAAGAAGAAGAGCAAGGGGCAGCTGGATGTCATCATGTCATCCATCAATGACCATAATATGAGAAGAGACATCTTTTCGCTTTTCCTCTTCTTCCCTTTTTTTTTTTTTTTTTTTTGTCTGAGATGGGGCCCGGGGGTCAGGTGTGTGCGTGCACGGGACTCCTTCAATATAGGGAATTGGAATTAGTAGTATATTATCATCTCCTCTGTCTCTGTACGGAGTAAGGAGTACGAGGAGTACGAGGAGTATGGTCGTATGTAGGTCGGCCGAATGTACAGATCTACTCCGTACCCGTAGTACTCGTGGTAGTATCACTACTAGTAATATAGCAAGTAGCAAGCAGTAGTATTATGGAGTCCGGTATTGCTCCTGCTGTCAGCTGGCATACAGAAAAGTCATACCAAGTAACGATATCTACATATGCTCGTGCGAGTATTACCGATCAACATAGCACAGCACACGGAGAGCAGCTGTTGACTGGCATTGTCGTCTTCGTGATCTGTCCCTGGGCCGAGCGGCAACGCATAAACTGTACCAGAGTGCATTGATTGCTTCTTGTTCTTTACATTGACCGTTTCGTTTTTCTGCTCGTGTCGTGTACCTGTGTCACGTACTCGTGTCATGTGATAATACTCCTCCGTAGCATCGAGAAAGGAGTCGAGTCCGGTATTCAGCAGTCTGTACATGGGAAGTGGTCGACCGTACAGATCACAGATGTATATGTATCGCCATTACCCGCTCACGGACATTGAAGAGGCACGCACGTATCAGCTTGACGAGTAACGATAGATGCCCCGTACAGATACGCACGCAACTTCCACCCTGTCGCTACTCGCACCTGTGACGGCCACAACACAGTTCGCCCTGATGTGGCGGTTACTAATTCGACCCGCAGCCTGCCAACGCGACGTAAATCCCCACGGGCTGCACGCTCCCGCCTGCGTCCCACCGCAGGTATGTAATACTCGTGCCACTCGCTATATATCGCTGCTCGGACTAGTTGTGATGTGTACTCCGTACGGAGCACTACGGGGAGGGGTATTCTCATTACCAGCTCAATCTATCAGGTACCCCATCACGAGACATGCAATCTCTCCTCTCTCTCTCTCTCTCTTCCTTTTTCGGTGCTGCCGTTATCGAGACAAGTGTTGGGGAGGAGAGAGAGAGAGAGTCCTCGAGAGGGGGGGGGGGGGGGGGGGGGGGGGGAGGAGGGGGGGGGGGGGGGGGGGGGGGGGGGGAGGATGCGTTGCCGAACAGCTTTCATCCCTGGGCGGTGTATGCTCGTATGCTCGTACGTACAAAAAGACAGAAGCCCATCATCAGCATCGTAAACCAGACATCCGACACGCAGCACAGTACCCACCGTGTCGAATGGAGCAAGCCGTGGGAAAGGAAGAGGGGAGGGGGGAGGAACTCTTCTCTATCGTGCCAGCGGCGGCGGCGGCGGCGTCGGCGGTAGTGTTGGTGGTGGTGGTGGTGGTGACGTCGCTGCAACCCAACCCGCGCGCGCTAGCAGCTCCTCTGGCATTCTACCAACTCTTACCGAAGTAATATTGACAAAGTATCCAGTCCCGTGTATGGGAGCGGAAGTGGAGGGATGATGATCGGGTGAGGGAGCATTGTATTAGCTGTGAGTCTCTGTACTGGCAACAATAGTCATAATAGCCATAATAGTACGGAGTAGTCATAATAGTATGAGAATATAATGAGAATATATACTTCCCCTCTCCCCCCCCCCCCCCAAAAAAAAAGCATATTTACGACGTATTATTGTAATAACACTCCCGTGGTAATAGTACACAATGATGATAGACATGGCTGCGGTAAATTGTAATCTCTACCATGACTCTCTGTCGACGACCAACTGCATCCGCGCGCGTGTGCTCGAGCACCTTCAGGTCGTACGGCCATGTCAGCAACTGCCGTCTCCGTTCCGATGAGGAGAGGAGAAGAAGGGGACCATCGGGGTCTCACTCCTTGCGGAGGAGAGCAGTAGGAGCCGGAGGACGATAGTGCTGAAGACTTGGAGGGAGAAGAGGGTTAGGACTGATGGTCGGGCAGGCGGTGCATCTGGACCGAGTATGGGAGAGATGCGATGATGTATCATCAATGTACGAGTACGTACTCGTATGCTACTTGCAGATAGCATTGCAGTATTACCGCACAGCGTACGGAGTATTATTATTAGTTGCACGGTACTCCGTAGTGTTATGAGTAATAAATAATAAATAACAACTCGTAACAAGTTGTTTGGAGCATTAATAAACCGCACGAAACTGTGTGTGCCTGGCTTGACACTTCTGCCAAACCCCCCCCGGTCCGGTCCAGTTCAATGTTCTTTGCCTTCCTTTCCTCTTCTTCCCACCACTTCTTGTCACCCACTTCACACTTTCGGTGGAATGTGTGTGTGTTCTAGTTTACCAGTAGAAACAATTGGATTTATATCCGTCATAGTATACGGTCACCCCCCAGATACACACACACACACACGTCCCGATCGTGATAGTCATCGCCACATACACTTGTTTTCATATCCCTCTGGTACTCGTAGACGTAGAGATAGAGATTAAGAAAAAAACAAAAAAACCGGACAGCAGCAAGTGAGGCCGAGCTGACAGAAAAGACGTGGGAGAGAGGGAGAGAAATGGTCACGCCCAAAGAGATGCGGCATCAGGGTGCGGGACCCATAGACCATCTCACAGGAAGCTGCCCCACTAAATGCCACCCCACCCCCCCCTTTCACATCTGCCCATGCCCAGCTGTACCAGGCGGCGACCAGGTAGATTGACTGTGTGTGTGTGTGTGTCAATGTGTGGGTGGTCTCGCTCGCAGCTGCGTGTGTGGCTTGTATCATCGACATGTACGACTTACTGAACCCTCTCGAGTGATACAGAGGACGACCGTCTACGAGCACACAACCTTGGAAAAAGTTTTTCCGATTCTCGACGCTTCTGATGGAAGAGGTTGACATGGCCGGACGGTAAGTATCACCACAGGTGATGATGAATGGTGCTGATATGATGCTACGGAGCATTGCACGCATCGTCGCCAGCATTATATGCACTGCAGCCTACTGGTACGAGCACTACGGCTAGGTGGGAGAGCCTCTGACTTGCTGCCCTCCACCGCGACCGCCCTGTACCGCCCGGTACCGTCCTCTACGAGTACCAATGATACACCACCATCCAGGGCTGCCTGTGATGCCCTGTGACGGGGGGCCTCACTCCGACCCCCCGAACCTAGCAGCGTGTGCCCGCTGTATCTGTCCGGTCGCACGTACTGTACGCCGTACGCCGTACACTGTACCGCTACCCAGCCTGATCCATCACACCCGACCAGTTGCACGCTGTACACTATACTACGCGAGTTACCTGTACGGATAACAGTGCCATTGGTAGCAGAAGAGAGAGATTGTGTGTGCGTGTGTGAGTGTGTTGAGGAAAGAGATGGAGATGTACGATGGAGAGAGAGGGAGAGAGAGGAAGAGAGAGAGCACGAGAGCATTCGATACTACGTATTACAGGTATTGATACTATGTCGCTAATGATACTGAGTAGGTATTAGTGTCCGTACCTAGCTGTAGGTGCATCACGGGCTGCTTGGGGGATCGGCTACCCAGAAGGCCAAGACTGCCACCGCCCACCTCTACGGAGTAATACGCTGTATCTGTATCGGTACGTCGCATGTACAGCGGGGCCTACGTGCTAGGGACCCAGAACACGGCACGCCCTCCAGGTCTCCCTCCCTAACCCACCCCCCCAAAGCTCAGCACTAAACCTGGAACTGGCTGGCTGGCTGGTGGCAGCCCACCCGCTAAAGCCGCCCCGGAACTTTCCTCTCTCTCACCCATCCCGTCGTCATGAGAGACTTCCACCGCTTCCCTCACAACCTCTCCTCCTCCTCTCCATTGTTCCTCCTCGACACTCTTCTTCTCTCTTCTTCTCCCTGCGCGTACACGGCCGTGGCTCATACCCTCTCCTCTCCGTCAATACAGCCTCGACACTCTCTCAGCTTCCTGCCCAGCCGATATTCCATACCACTCCCTCCTCTCTCTTCCTTCCTCCCCTTTCTCTCCTAGCTGGACAGCTCCGCCACCGAGAAAGGTCGTCATTGCTGCCCGTTCCACCAAGCGGCCCAGCCAGCAGTTGCTGGGCTGCCTCGCCTCGCCTCGTTTTCGCCTCGACCGTCAATCACCTACTGACAATGTGACGGTCTTTGCACTTACTCACTCGCCACCCTTCTTCTTGCGTCTCTGAATCCAACTCGGCATTCTCTCCTCTCTTTGCTACAGACTCATACTCGCCTTCTCTCTCTCTCTCTCTCTCTCTCTCCAACCCCCCGGGAACCAACCATCCGTCATCTCCACACACATCCACTCTTCGGATCATCATCACGAACTTCGAACCCTTCGACCATCTCAACCACGATATCCCTTTCTTTTTTTTCCCTCTCCCGATCTCCCGATACCGGATACCGGATACCACCCCAGATACCAGATCGTTCGGCTGCTTCGCCATGAATGCCATCAAGATTCCGGAGAGCGGGGTGCTGCTCAAGGGCGCTCCTGGCGAGGATTCCGATCCTCTGCCTCAGCAGGCCTTTGCATTCTCCCTCAGCGATAATGTCATCGAAGACATGATCAAATGCGTTCAGGATGGCGGAGACTTGCAATTGGCACTGGGGTCCAAACCTGTCAGTATCCTCTCACCTTGAATGCTGCATTGCCCCCCCCCCCCATGAATGCACCATCCTCACCCGCGCCCTCAAGAGGCAGCTGGCAAACCGGTTCTCTGCCAGCTGCTGCCAGCAGGCATCTCAGAGCACAAGGCCTCGTCTATACCGGATCCGTCATGGAAGAAGCCCGCTGGCCGTCCCTGCCGTATACTGACCGTGACCTCTCTCTTCGGATAGACCCTCCGCTACGACTCGAAATCGCATCGCATCACCCCTCCACCCGACGACCACCCCTACGATCTCTATCTCACGCAACCCTACAACTCCCTGCGAGAGGCCACCCACATTCCCGCCATGTCCCTCTTCCATACGCCGAAGCCGAACAAGGCCGCGTCCAAGGCTGCACCTCCTGCAAAGGGAGCTTCGGCCAAGGCCAAGGCCCAGCACGGCAAAGGCTCCTCAAACTCGGATATCGATTCCGACATGGAGACTCTGCAGAACGGCATTGCCGCCGACAAGGCTGCCAAGGAGACGTGAGCTCGTCCTGTCCCACGTGTGGCTTTCCTTCGAGGTGGGATTACTGACCGATGATATCAGATCCGTGCTCCTGTCCGGACCGCTCGACCCGAAGCGACAGGCCAAGATGAAGAATAAGCTCTCCTGGGGCAACGGCAACACCAACCGGTCGCTTTCGATCTCGCCCGCCATCAAGCCGATCTCACCGTCGATGAACCCGACCCTCTCCTCCGCGGAGCGCGTCAAGCAGCAGCGCATCCCTCTGATACACGAGCTGGCCGTCGGCGAGCAGACGACAAGTTACCTGCAGAAGAAATGGACGTCGAAACCCGAAGACTTCCGGCCGGCACTCGAAAAGGTGGCCGACGGAAGCGGCGACGGCAAAAAGTGGACACTGCGAAAGGTTTACTGGAAGGAACTGGACGTCTGGAACTACGACTACGACAGCGAAGAGGTTCGGCAGCAGGCGATCAAGAACGCCATCAGGCAATACGACAAGCAGCGGCTCTCGGCATCGGACCCGGAATGGGAGAGGCTCAACCCCCCCGACGACCGGGGCAAGGGCATATGCCTGAGCGCGCTTCAGAGCAGGATCAACAAGGCGTCTACGCCGTCCATCAAGGTCCAGAGGGCGGATGACAGCCCGTCGTCCAGGGATGACGGCGAGCTGGATGAGGGCGAGAAGCACAAGAGCGAGTCCATGTCGAGATCGAGCTCGAACCCTCTGCCCAAGGCAAAGAAGGTCAGCGCGTCGGAGGCTCAGGCCAAGAGGCTGCTGAGCAGCAGCGGCGGCAACAACGGCAACGGCAACAAGACCAAGGCCGCCCCGCAGAAGCGATCGCCGAGCAAGCCCAAGCCGGCAAGGGAGGGCGGAGGGAAGCAGCAGCCGTTGTCGCAGGAGTTCATCGAGAACTCGGATTCATCCGAAGACGATCCGGTGGCAAGGCCGGAACCGCCCAAGAAGGCGGCCGCCAAGGTCTCGGACAAGTCGGCCGCCAGGACTGCGAGCAAGCCTGCCGAGAAGCCCGTCGAGAAGCCCGCCGAGAAGCCCGCCGCGAAACCGACCGACAGGGCGGCGTCCAAGCCGGTGGACAGGAAGCCCAAGGCGGCCGCGGCCGCACCCGTACAGAGGCCGGCGGCGACCAAGACGGCACCGAAGCGGCCGCTGTCGGACGACGACTCGTCGTCCAGCTCGGGCACGCCACTGTCGAAGCGCATCAAGCCCAAGCAGCCGCTGCCGAGCGGCCAGCCGGCCAAGAAACGGCCGCTGGACTCGCGCCAGGCCCACCGCGACGCAGCACCGGCGGCGAGCAAGAACAAGAGCACGTCGCCGACCAAGTCGTCACCCCTGGCGGCGTCTCCACCCACCAACGCGTCGGACGTGTCGGACGATCCGCCGCCTCCGAGCAGGAAGCGCAAGTCCGAGATGGACAACCACCGGGTCCCGCCGGCCAAGCGACCGCAGGTGTCACCCGATCTGGTGACCCGAGCTCAGAAATTCAAGATCAAGTACTCGCAGTACGAGGCCCTCCACCACGAGATCTCGGCCCTGACGGATCCACCTCAGAGCAAGCTGGATCATCTCCGGTACATGAGGGAGGGCCTGGAGCGAATGAAGGCGGAGATTTACAAGAGTTATAATGCTTGAGATCCTCATCGCATGCCCTGACTCGGCGTAACAGGAGAAGGTATGATGGACTTTTTTTTTTCTCCTCTTCTTTTCTTTATTATTACTATTTTTTTATTTTTTTCTTGCATCTTGGAGTTTCCGGAAGGGGGATTTCACAGGGTACCCCTAAAAAAAAACCAATCCTGAGCTGAGGAAGGCGTGACTTTTGTCTTGTTTAAATTTGCTTTTTTTTGATTCTTTCCCTTGAGAGACAAATTTTTTTTTATAAACATTTTTGCTTTTTATTTTTATTTTGGTCTAGTATTATTTTCTTGCTATCGACATGATGGATCGGCGGGGGAGAGAGGAGAGGGGAGAGGGGAGAGAGAGAGAGAGAGATGAGGTTCTCATGGGGGATGTCGACGAAAACAAGAAAGAGAAAAATGAGTTCAAGGAGTTGAAAGAGGGGTGCGGGGGGCTATACAGGAATACCGAGGAGGCCTAGGTTGATCTTGTCTGTACACTTTTGACGTTTGATGCATAGATGGGAAGCCGAAGATGGTGAATTGAGATGATGGCATGATCCTCCCATGTGTCTTTTACATGCTTACAGGAGTAGAATATAGCAAAACAACAACAACAACAACAACAATAACAACAAGTTTTCATTATTTTTTGATCTAATTCTTTTTTGCAAGACATAAAAGTTCAGGACATGAGAGTCTTGAAAGATGGTGATCTGCATCATGAGCATCCCCCCATCATCATTGCTCGTTTTCGTGGCACCACCTTTCTATGCTGTAGATGGACGGGTCAACCGATCGTGGTGCTATGCGCGGATGGATCAAAATGACTAATTCATATATATGTATATATATATATATATACATATATATCCGTTTCTTGACTTGTTGACTTGGAAAGTGTTCGGTATGCCTGAACGATGACTGATATTATTGATAAGTCGCTGGCATTCGTAATCCTCTCGGTATTACATATCGATACTGCATCAATACCTGACACCGACACTGACCTAACCTGGACCTGAAAACTTGTGCTTCCTGCTTGCGACAGCACGCCATGACCCGTAGGCGTGGATACGGTGGTGTCAGCCTACCGGTACGTCCTGGGTTGATGAGTTTTGTGTCTGATTGCTTGATGGAAGGAAAGGGAGGAAATCTATGAAGTTATCTACAGATGTGAGGGTGGCAGCAGCTCCTGGCTGCTTAGTCATACAATCTCGGGTGCCACAAACTTAGACCAAGAACGGCTCCATCGATTGGATAAGAGTGTGGACCCGGGCTTACACGGGCCCCCGGGGGGGGGGGGGGGAGGATAGAATAATAATAATAATTAACAAAAAAAAAAGAAGAATGGTTACGAATTTGGGTTTTTTTTTCTTTTCTTTTCTTTTCTTTTCTTTTATATTTTTTTTACTTTTTTTTATTGCAAAACTCATGCTCATAATGCATACATTGTGATTATTCGGTAAGTTTGGGCCTTTTGAGGGCATCGTTGCGAGATAAGGGAATAGACATTTTTTTACCTCTCGTTTTCACCAAGTCAACAGAGTGAAGAGGAAGAAGAAGGACAAAGAGGGACAGAAGGGAGGAGACTTTTCTTCTTCTTTTTTTCGGGAAAAGAACAGAAGGCAGAAGTAAAGCAGAGAGTTCAAAAGAGAAGGGATCGAAAAAGAAGAACAAGAAGAAGAGGCAAAAAAAGAGAAGAAAAAAAAGAGAAGAGAGAGAAAAAGAAAACACCGCACAAGAATGCCTCCAACACCAGAAGACCTCCCTCAGATCTGGCAACGCCCGAGCTACTCATCGCTCATATCGGCCCTGGAGAGCCTCGAGGTCCGATTGCCGGTATGGAATCACGGGCGGAAGAGGTCCGACGTCCTGGCCGAGCAGGAGACCCTGGCGAACCGGCACAACGCCTCTGCGACGCGGTACCTGTCCACCATCATCGGGAGTCGGCTGTCCTGGCTGGACGGCGACGAGGAGCGCGACCGGGTGTGGGACCAGGCCAGCAGGCGGATGGCGGAGCGGTGCGGGCGGATGGCCATGGGCGAGGTCCTCCGCTCCTGGCCGTTCGACCCCGTCGCCGACCAGCAGGGGGGTGAGGGAGGCGGCGGCAGGAGCGGCGGCATCGCATCGTTCGAACCCTTCGAGCTGGTCATCAAGGAGCCCGGGCTGACGGGGGACTCGCTGGGTCTCAAGACCTGGGCGTCGTCGTACGTGCTGGCGCGGAACCTGCCGAGGCTGGGAGCCACCGTGCTCTTCCGCCTGTTTGACGAGTCGCTGGGGGAGCCCCGGCCGGACGTGCTCGAGCTGGGGTCGGGGACGGGCCTGCTGGGCATCGCGGCCGCCGCCGTCTGGAAGGTCCCCGTCACCCTGACCGATATGCCGGCCATAGTGGCCAACCTCGAGGACAATGCCGACAGGAACTCGGAGCTGGTCGAGAGGAGGGGGGGCTCGCTACGGGTCGGCCGTCTCACCTGGGGGGGAGAGGTCGACGAGGGACTCTTCGAGAAGGCGAACCGGTTCAAGGTATGTCTATCCGTCCGTCAACCCGTCTGCCTGCCTGTCTATCTGGCTGGCTGGCTGGCTGGCTTTGGAGTCTTGTCTGTCCAATCCTGTCCCATCTCATGGTAAAGAAGAAGACAGACAGAGAGAGAGAGGGGGGCTAGGGGTTGAATCGAAAGAAGAGAAAGATACTAACCGGTGCTTCTCAGATTGTCCTCGTTGCCGATCCGTTATATGATGACAACCACCCGACTCTGCTGGCCTCCGCCATAGACCAGCACCTCTCGCTCGACGCGGAAGCTCGAGCGGTGATCATGGTGCCTCTGAGAGACGAGACGACGGTCCGGCTGCTGAAGGATTTCAAGGAGGCCATGGCCGGCCTCGTGACCCCCCTCGCATGTGACGACGGGCAGGAGGAGGAGCTCGAGGGCCAGGATGACTGGGACTCGGCCAGCGTGAGGTGCTGGCTGGGGATATTCCGCAGGAAGCCGGCAAACGTCCCTGCAGCAGCTTCAGCTCCAGGGGACGGGGAATGAGGATCGACGCATATGCAAGCACACATACACACACACACATATATACATATACATACACATACACACATATACACATACACACATATACACACATATACATATACATACACATATACATACACATGCACAGGGGAGAAGAGGTAGGATACACCTTCTCGACCACGAAAAGAAAGAAAGAAAAGTCAGCTACCATACAGATGACCTGACCTGACCTGACCTGTAAAGTCATTGACAATATACAATCAATGTACGTGACCCGACATTCAGAGTTGTATATATATACATATATGTATATATATATATATATATATATATATTTAAAAAAACAATAACGGGAAAAAACCCCCCCCCCCCAAAAAAAAAACTCACATGGTCCAACATCTGACGTGACGCAGAGCAATGTACCTCCTCGGCTGACCCAAACTCATAACCATTTCTAGAGATATCAAGAGCCTCTAACAGCTTCAGCCGGCTGCTCGACGGCTGCACGGTCCATCTCTTGATGTCGTCTTGCCAGCTGTCAACATTCTGCCCTCGCCTCCCACCTCTTGACCGGTGACCCTTTTTATTTATTATTCTTATATATATATCGAGAAAAAAATCTCCCTCTCCGCTTGTTACAAGTCCACCTTTGTCACGAGTGCCTCTCTCTCTCTCTCTCTCACTCCACATACATATATATTCTTCCCCTTGTTTTCCTTCTCGTGATCTCTATCCAAGTTTGCTACTATGAAAAAGTAAGCCTCTCCAAACTCTCGACCTTTTCTTCTTCTTCTCCCTTGCTAGTATCATAGAAAAGATGATTATTCCCCTCCATTCTATTTCTCAACAGCCACTTCCTTCTTCTTCTTCTTCTCAAGAGTTGAAGACAAACGTAACGTTGATCAAGAGTCAACGTTGCCTCGTACTTCTTCACAACTGTGCCTGAGACTCCTTTCCGGTTTCCTTTTTACTATATCTCTCCTCTCCCCCACCCCCTCTCAGAAGAGAGGGAAAGGGGAAAGAAAAGGTGAGTGAATCGCAGTCGAGTTCGGGGAACGTGGTCTTTGGTTGTGTGTCCCTCCCCCTCGCCCCCCCCCTCGCCCTCGCCCTCGCTTGTGTCGTCGTCTCGAACGACGTCAATATCCCCAACGCCCCGCCGCGTCATACCAACATTTGAACGTATACAGGACGCTGACCGGTAAGAGGGGAACAGAGCCGAAGGTAAACATCATCGTACGACAAACAAGAGAAGAAGAAGAAGAAGAAGCAGAGGAAAGAAAACAAAAACGAGAGACAAGGAAACTCTGATACATCCTTTTCTCTCTCTCTCTCTCTCTCTCTATCCTCTCCCTCTCGTATGATTTATACTGCTGAGCCACATCCCGGCAGCAACGTTTCTGTGCTACGGATCCTCACCCTGTCGAGAGGGTCATAAAAAGGGTCGTCTGTCCGAGAAGACGAGTCGACATTCTTAAATTGGCAGAGAGACTCCTTCTCCTTCTTTTTCTTCTTCTTGTTCTTCTCGATCACGAGACCATTCTGATCGAGGACTGCCCTCATATACCTCATCTTATTTCATCTTCACACACACTTCTCGTTATAGGAGAACAGAATCTTCAAATCACCGATGCCGCCCTTCAACATGACAGGCACACCTACATACCGCCCGGCTGAGATACAATTCATACTGCACTCGCTCGTGCGTCGCGTCAAGCACAGTCAGATCAGGCATGACTTCGAGCACATGTTCAGGAGGCGCCTGGCGCCCAACCAGATCCGCTACGTCAAGAACAAGTACGGCCGGGACTCGCGGTACAAGTAAGCGCTCCCTGTCTTCGCCCCCCCCCCCCCCTCTCAACTCCAGCCCCCTCCCCCGGGAACTGACAGCTCCCCGCAGCTCGGTCATGGTGAACTACCGAGGCCGTCACGCCGTCGACCTCGAGNCATGACTTCGAGCACATGTTCAGGAGGCGCCTGGCGCCCAACCAGATCCGCTACGTCAAGAACAAGTACGGCCGGGACTCGCGGTACAAGTAAGCCTCCCCTCTCAACTCCAGCCCCCTCCCCTCTCAACTCCAGCCCCCTCCCCCGGGAACTGACAGCTCCCCGCAGCTCGGTCATGGTGAACTACCGAGGCCGTCACGCCGTCGACCTCGAGGAAGCCCTCGGCCGTCCCCGGCCTCCCCCTCCCACCATCGCACCCGACCCTGCGGCTTCTGTCCTGGCCGGGCCCGAGCCGCACTCTCACTCGGTCCGTCACCAGTGGATCGACCGGTCAACCGAGCTGTCACCCCACGGGCTCTACTCTCCCCAGCAGCTCATGAACGGATGCGCATCCCTCCCTCTCCCTGCCCCCCTCCCTCTTCCTCCCACCGACTTCTCCGCCCTCCCCCGGGACACGGTGACGCCGGTTGCCGACGCCAGCGCCGACGTCGACCATCCCCGGTAGGCTCTTCCCCTCTTCTTCCCCCCCCCGCAGTACCCCTCTCCAAAGTCATCGCTCGCTGATGATGACCCATCCTCGACAGATCTCGACCGCAGTACGTCGACCAGGATCAGGACCCGGGATGGAGCTCGGCCGAGCCCAGCCTCAACGGCGGTTCGGCCAAGATGACCCCCTCCGTATCCCCGGGGACGACCCTTTCCCCTCCCGTGGAGGACACCGGCACGCCCCCCGGCTTCGACGACCCCATGCACGCCGCAATCCACATGTCCGTGGCCGTGAACGGGGCCGCCACCGGCCTGGGCCCGGGGCAATACTACGATACCCGACTACTCTCCGACTCGGGGCCGTACAGCAACCCCGACCTCTCCGCCATCTCCGCCCACGACGCCGGCTACCTCGAGCCCGCGGCCTTTGCGAGCGAGCCCCTCCTCGACCATCACCATCACCCCCCCCATTCCCCTCCCCCGGTCCTCATGTCGGTCGAGCAGGACGCCCTCGACGACGTCGAGGTCATGTTCTTCCGGCAGACGGCGGCGGTCGGCAGCCTCCGCGACGAGGACTACCTCGCGTCCACCGGCCCGGTTCTCGGCCCGGTTCCCGGCTTCGACGTCCCGCCCCGCGACTTCTGGGACTACTACTCCCCCGTCCCCAACGTCGGGCCCGTCGAGCCGCACGTCTCCCTCGGCGACGATCCGGTCGGGACGCCGTCCGGCTCCGGCATCGCCAACTGCGGTCTCGGGCTCGTCAACCTCCCCGCCGACATCTACGCCCGGGACGACGGCACCCGTCGTCAGCCCCGGGACGACGCACCCCTCGTCGCCACCACGCGATCTGGCCACTCCGGCGCCGGCGCCGGCGCCGGCCCGGTCGAGGACCCCCCCACCCGCCAGGCGGATGCCGCCCCGGACACCCAGAAGCCCTACACCGACATCTACAGCCCCTTCTTCCCGTATACCTACATGCCCGACGACACCTACGGGCCCGGCGCCTTCCACGTCAGACCGGGCCCGGCCGGCCCCTGGGGCTTCACCGGCCCCCACGTCCCAACCTACGACGACCCCGCGGCTGCGCGTCCGACCCGCGTCGACCCGGCCGACCACGAACCGGCCAATTTCCCCTCTGAGCAGCACCGTCTCGACGACGAGTACTACGAGGAACCTGGGAGGTTCCCGAGGCCCTGTGATGCTCTTCTTACCTCGCCTCCTCCGATCATCAATTACAACTCGCCTCTCGAGGACGTTGATGGCGATTAGCTGGGGTTTCTCAACTTGGGCCTTGGGCCATCTGGCCGTTTCTGCTCGTACTGATCATGTCGTCGAGGATGATCTCTGAATGATTATATCAAGTTGCTTTTTTTTATTTGCTCTTTTTTTTTTGTTTCTCTGTTTCTTATATATATCTATATATATATTATGATTATTATATTTTGAATCTTTTTTTTTGTTTTATCCTAATCTATATTCATTATGTTTACTCATTAAGTTTTTTTTGTTTCTTTCAAATTTTCTTTTTTCTATATTGCGCTCTTAGGTTCTCATTACAATGGTCAAATGTTCATCTATATTATTAGCATCGAGCCTTGACGTTGTCACATCACGTTGGAATTTAAGAAGCGGCTTGGTTCGTTTACGCTTCTTCTTTTTTTTCTGTAACATATTTTGACCTTGGGGGAAGTTTTTTCACATCTTCAACATTTATTGAAAGAACCAAAAACAAAGGCAGGCTAAAAGAGGAGAGTTAATAGTGGCCTTTACGGATGGATAAGAGGTTCAAGTTACGCTGGAAAGTTTCCATGACGTCTACAAAGGTAGGTTCGGGTTCGATACGGCATTGATGCTCTTATACGTAATAACGGGTATTATCATACATCTAAACTTGGACTGACAATACCAGACTTGAGTTGAAAAAAAAAAAAGACAAAGATGATAGCTCAGGGTGACAATGTAAAGTTACCGTGTGCATTGAATCGTACACAGCAGTGCAATATAACCAAGTGAACAAGATCTGACGAGGTCGGCATTCAATATATGAATATTCGGAATGGATGCAGATGGCTAGGTGAAAATGATATTTGGTAAACCGACTGATACCTAGACATGGAGTAAAGTATTGGAGTTGAAAATGTAGGCAAGTCCTTAATTCGTACCAGATATGTATGATGTTATAAAAAAACGACGGGCTTTCACCAGGGTATGTGATTATAATGTGCGCGAAAGAGAGCAAGCACTTGGTAGAAAAATCGCATAGAAAGATTTGCAAAAAAAAAAAACCAAAAAAAAACCAGAGAGATAGCCACCCTGATTGTATCCTCGCACATGAAAGAAGATTAAGATGTAAAAGAGCCAGTGGAAAAGGAGGTCATGATTTGATGGCAGGAATAGAGGAGGGGGAGGGGGGGAGGAAAGAAAGAGAGACGCCAATCAAATTATATCTTGTCATGGTTCGAGGGGAGAAGGGAAAGAGAAGAAAGAGAGAGAGAGAGAAAGAGAGAGAGAGAGGGAGGGAGAGAGAAAGACTAGAGAAGGCTAGATAGAAATATAGACGTTTCTTCGTGAATCGACCTCGTCGATGGGAAACTGAAAGACCAGACCAAACAGGTTACGCAGGTAGGTGTACCGCGTAGATGACTGCGCCATGATGTGCACGCTCTTGGCCATGTCGTGGGCGCTGACCCTCTTGCCTCGGGCCGGGAGGGCCTGGCCACGCGGGATGATGTTGTCCGTCAGGACCGAGTTCTTGTACTGGTCCAGCAGCGTCCTCTGGGAGGCGAAGGCGTCGGGCGGCAGGCTCTGCACGAACTTCTGGAAGTAGGCCGAGCCCATCTTGGGGTCCGAGGAGGCGACGGCGTCCCGGTTGAGGCCCAGGTTCATGGCCGCGCGGAGGACGAGCACCTTGGCCCGGCCGAGGTTGACGTCCTCGTTGGCCGAGGCCGTGGCCGTCGTCGTCGCCGTGCTCGACGTCCGCGTGCTGCTCTTGGTGCTCTGCGAGTAGCTCGACAGGTTGGACGCGTTGCTGGACCACCGCCCGCCCCGGCCGTTGTCGCCCGCCGTCCCCAGCACCATGATGTTGGGCATCTGCGGGGACCGGCTCTCCGGCGAGACGGGCGTGTCTTCGAACTCGGTCACCGGCGTCTCGGGGATGGCGTGCGTTTGCTTGCGCGACGGCGGGGACGCCTGCTGCTGCGGCTGCTGCGGCTGCTGCGGCTGCTGCGGCTGCTGTTGGTGCTGGTGCTGGTGCTGGTGCTGGTGCTTCTGCTGGTGCTTGTCCTCTCGTCGGCTGCTCTTGGCGCTCTCGCGCCCGCCGCCGCGGCGTGATGATCGGTTCGATGTCCGACTCTCGGCACGGTCCGACGGCAGAGACCCGAAGCTTGCCTGGCTGGGTCGCGGCGTGTTGCGGTCCGGCTGCACCTGAGACCAGCCGTGGCGGTAGATGTCCATGAGGTCCCAGCAGGCCTGCACGGCAGACTTGAGGAGCGTCTCGTCGGGAGCACGTCGCTCGAGCTTGCTCTGTCGCAGGTTGAAGAGCATCTCGGCTAGGCCCCAGCATGCGCGGAGCAGCTGATCCGTCTCATCAGAGTATCCGCCGCGCTGCTTCATCAGCCGGTGACATAGTGTGATGTAGAAGTCGAGCGTTCGCTCCATGAATTCGTCGGGCAGGTGTCGGTCCTGAGAACTGTAGAGACTAGGGTTGGGTGTGAGCCTTCTGTTTTCTCTCCTCCCTTTTATTATTATTATTATTATTATTTTAATTGGAAATTTTTTTGATAGAAAAAACTTCGCCCTCTCTTTTTCCTTTTCTTCTTCTTTTTCCATTGCTCCATTTTTTTTTGTCTCTGCACATTCAGAGGCATGAATGCGTGCACAGAAGAAGGGAGACTTACTGCTTGTTGAGTTCAAAGCTAACACGGAGGATGGAATCCGTGGCCGGGTCAGTGCTGTCGCGGATATCAAACAGAGCCTGGCAGAAGTCGCGGCAGTGCTCCAGGCTCGTGCTGACGTTGAGGACCTCTGCACGGTCCTCGGAGCTGCTCTGGAGCACGCGGCAGAGCTTCCAGCATGACTTCCACGCCCTGCCGTAGGCATCCGGGGTGCCGGAGCTGTGGAAGACCTTGGACCTATGGCCGTAGCTCAGGCTGGCAAACGTGTTGCACAGCTTCCAGCTGTCCTGGAAGGCCATCCGGAGAGACGTGATCTCGTCGTCATCGTCCTGACCAGGATAGGTGCGGGAGTCGTATCCTTCGTCGTCACCCTCATTCTCCGTCTGCTCTTCGATCTCTGCGCACGGATGGAAGGAATGCATCAGTGGTGAATCGGGACGTGACCCACTGCGGGGTTGCGGTCAGAGGGGAGGGAATGCTTACTCTCGAGGCTCCCTGTGCTGCTGGAGCGTAGACGGCTTCCGTCGCTCAGCATGTCGTCCAGGTCCTGGGCTCGCGGGGTGGTGCTGTCTAGGGTGAAGCGGATGGGCTTCACGTCGGTGGAGATGGGTGGTCGAGAAAGCTGCCGCGCGCGTCAGTCGGGTCAAGTCTGGGATGCATACATGCACGTGCTCTTGCGGAGATTGCGGGCATATACCGACCCTTGAAGGCTCGCCGCCGCTGAGAGTGGCCAGACTAGCTTCGCGTTCGTTCGGCTGGCTTGACTTGCCAGCGTCGCCTTGCTGGTTCTCTCCGGTCGGTGGTGATTTCTATGCACGGCGGCGACGGTCAGCAGGGGATCGGTCTTGCAGGGGTGGAGAACGAGTCCGCACCCAGCTGGAGAAAGTCTCGGGGGCGTGAATGACGGACACGGCCTCCTCGCCGCCTTGGCGCACGTTTTCCGGGATGTCAGTCGCGAGACTCAGAGTCTGGTGAGGCTAGTGTCAGCAGCGGATGGGCAGCCTTCTGAGTCCTAGTCCTGGCATCCACCTTTCCACCCACCTCATATCTAAGGTGCTCGGGAGCGGCGTCGGCATACGAAGCACGCCGCACCTCCTCGGTAGCGTCGTCTTCGATCTCGGTGGTCTCGGTGCCGTTGGAGGTGACTGGCGAGGGGCCGACAATGTCACTGGGGCTCATCACGTTGGAGTTGGAGGATATACGGCTGGCGGAGCTAGGAAGGAGGGACGACGAGTCGGTCGTAGGAGGAGGGGAGGAGCTGCGGGTCGGTAGGAGAGAAGTGTAAGTATCGAAAGGTCAGAGGGATGGGGAGAAGGAGGGAGAGCTGCAAATCCTTGCTGGATGAGATAGGACCTACACAACTCTGGCGGGCGAGTGGAGGGACCCAGATCCCGATGCGGCTGACATGGCAGGCGAGCTTGCGAAGGGGAATTGCAGCGAGGATCGGAGAGGGGCCTCGAGAGCCATGATTGCTGTACAGGTCGAAGACGAAGGTGATGATGAATCGACGATGTCATACGTCGACGGATGGCCGTACTTTGAAGGAGGAGGAGGAGGAGGAGGGGGAGGAGAGTGATGTCCTGCTCAGAGCAAAGCGAGCAAGCAAGCACTAGCTTTCCGAGATTGAATCCCAAGGCTGAGATGGAGAATCCTCTCCTTTTCTCTGTTTCCGAGAAGAAGGAGGAAGAGAATGAAAGGAGGGAAGGGGAGAGAGAGAGAGAGAGAGAGAAGAAAGCACGGTCCCGGGACAAGGTCGCGATGTTGGGCCTTGCAAGCTTCGACCGGGCAGACTGCTGTGATGTGTGCGGTCTCTCCTCCTACGTTGGCTCCACCAGAGCTTCAGTATCAACAACACGTACACAGACACAGGCACAGACAGACACAGACACAGACACAGGCACGCACGCTCAAGGCAATGGAGGTGCTGCAACGGAACAGGTGAAGCCCGAGGTCTGGTCTCCAGGAGGGTGAGCCGGTCGGAGGCCGAAAGAAGAGGGGGGAAAAAAAAGTGAAGAAGGAGGGTTGGTGATCGGTGAGATGATTATAGAGAGAATAGAGAGATAGAGAGGGAGAGAGTGAGATAATGAAGAAAGAAACCAACAGACTGGATGTCCGAGAGAAAAAAAGAAAAAAAAAACGGTACAACCGAACCCGCGGCTGTCCAAAGCGGTCAAAAGTCAGCACTAGGCGACACAAAAGGAAAAAGGCAGCGTTGGGGGGGGGGGGGGGGGGGGTGGGAGGGAGAGAGAGAGCGGGAGAGTGTGAGGGAGGGAGAGTGTGAAGGAGAGAGAGAGAGAGAGAGAGAGCGCGTGTGTGTGTGTTGGTGGAAAGGTGGGCGGGCAGTAAGGCATGAGCAAGGTGATCAACCTCTCTCTTCCTCATCATGGTGGAGTTGCTGCCATTACCATTGGGGAGTGTTCGGCGGTTACGCGCCCGGCTTCTCTCTCTCTCTCTCTCTCTCTCTCTCTTGACGAGGGAGGGGTCCATTTCCCTAGTACGGGTGCTATGGAGTACAGAAGAGGCACGAGCATCAGAGTACGGGAGAGGAGTATTGCTCCGTACAGATACTTCAAGGTATGATCTGTTGGTCGTATCCCCATCAGCAGAGCACCCAATAAAGATGAGTCTTGGCAACATATCCCCTGCAACGATGGCGGCGACAGAACCCTGGGGGGTCCAAGTACTTTTTATTTTTATTTTTTATTTTTTATTTTTTTTTAAAAAAAAAAATCAGTTGTACTTTGTATTGGAATTTTATCTCGCATCTTCCAGTCCGAGAGTCGAGCTACCATCAAAGTACAGGTACTCGCCGTACTCGCTGACGACCATATCGGCACAACCCTAGCCTCCTCTCTCCTAGCTGCTGTTCCCTGTCCCCACGATCCCTGACCGGGGCCCCTCTTCTTCATCCGGTTCTGGTTCCTCCTCCCCAGGCCGAGGACCGGGGGACCATCCTCCCTCGAACCTGAACCTGGAGCCTCTCGAACGAGCTGACGTCGTCCGGAAGGGAGACAAGGCCGAGAGAGGACGGGAAACTTGACGAGGGGAAGGGGGGGGGGGGGCGTTGACGAAGAAGAAGCACGCACGCACGGGGTTCCATCCGCCAGAGTTGAAGTGGTCACCGTCTAACCGGTCTCACTCACCTCGACGGCCAACATACATCAGGCACTCCGTACGTGCGTCGCATTGCATTAGCATCGGTCCACGGCAGCGTCTATCGTGTGCAGAGGCAGGAGGAAGCAGGCATAGATTGAAGGCGGCACCCAACAACGATACCACCGTACTCTGTACTCTGTACTCTGAAAGAGGGGGGGCGGGCTCCAGGTCCCAGCATGACGATGCGCGTCCGACGGGAACAAGTCCCCTCTCCCGGGTGAGGAGGGAAGCACGGCTCGATCTCTGGATAATCGACGTACACCCGTCATGGCGAACAGGCGACGCACCGTACGACTCAGAGCACCCATCTCTGCGCCGTGAATATTTCTGAACCCGGTGAGATCGAAGCCGTGGCACATCAGAGTGCACGTAGAAGATTGGGAAAGAAAAGAAGAAGAGGATGAAGCCACGGCAAATCAAGCCATCGGACACCTTTCCTCGTGGGGGGGGGGAGCTGAACGAGTACGAATCAGGATCCAAGCATCAGATGCAATCATGGTCCCATCAGGAAGAGAGGGAAAGGCAGGCCTCATTCCTGAAACCGCCATACCCAGATCTTCGGGACTCATCCACAGGGATTTCCCATCTACGTGGTGGTCAGAGGCCGTGCCGCGAGGCCCGTAAACGTGTACACACGGGTCTCACAACTTGTGGTTCGTTGCGAACCATGGCGGAACCCTCCCCTCCCCCCCCCACCTCTTCCCTTTCGGACTCTCTGCTTCAATCAGAGTCCGCGGTGCCTTCAAGCTTCTTTTTTTTATAGTTTTTTTTTATAGTTTTATTATTATTATTATTATTATTTTGACATTCTCTCGTGTCTTCTGAACCCACGGCTATGGTCCAGGGGGAGGCTGGGTGAGTCCGAGTCCGGTCGGCCTGGCCTAGGTAGACAAGACCTGTGCTGATCGGGTCAAGGCTATGATATGGAAAGAAGACATTCTTGTTATTGTTTATTGTTTCCTACTACCACCCCCCCCCCCCCCCCCCCCCCCCCAAGCCCCGGCATAATGGCATCCCTTACTCGCATGAAGATACATGCACTCTGCACCCTAGCACTGCTCTTTATCCTACGACTTATAACCTACCGACTGCGTCGTTGTAGGCTTCTATGATGGGACTGTAGAGCTGGTCAGGGTCTCCCGACGGGGTCCCGACAACCATCCTCGCTGTATCCGTAAAGAGGATTGATCTGATCCGTAAGCATAGGGGCTTCACCACATCGAGCGTCTCGGGAAACTCGCCCATGATCCTTTCTAGACCATTCACACTCATAGCACCCTCCTTAGTCATGGCAATCTCCTCCAATCCCCCAACCTCCCACTTCCGTAGCAGACTCTCCCGAGGCTTCTTCTTCTTCCCTTCACCCTTGAACCCGTTATACCATGACTGGCGTGCACACATCCAGAGCAAGACGTAGAAGAAGGACTCTAGGTCGTGGCGATAGGTGTGGTCAACCCTACGTAGGACCTCGACTGCCATGAACTGCACCGTACCCGTCAGATGTCGCGCTCCGCTCGGCCTGCTGTCTCTCTCCTTGGCTAGATCGAGGTCGATAAGCATGCCGTTGAAGCCATCTGCCGTCTCGGGTCTCGTAATGATAATGTTGTTGGACGAGATATCGCGGTGGAGGATGTTTCCGGTGATATAGAGAGACCGGTGGGCTCTGATCGCATCTCGCATGGCCTCGAGCAGCTCCCTGACCGTCTCGAAGTTACTGAGGATGCGACCGGTAGGCGATACGACGAGGCAAGAGTAGATCCTGTTCTCCCAGAGGTCCTCGCCTGTCATATACAGGCTAGGTTTGTCTTTACTGACCGACAGCTGGCTGCTAGCTTCTCGAGATCGCTTCTCTGACCCCGATGTATCGTTGGATATTCCGTCCGACCGCTTGCGCTTCCAGCCGACGACCGGGCTTGCTAATGGTAGCAATGTAGAACTGTCGTCGTTCTGAAACTGGTGGCGTTTATGGAATTCCAAGCCCTCGCGTAGTTCGCCGATAGAGGTGATCCGTYTATAGGCTACCGCCTTGGTCACCCCCTTGACGCCTCGTTCTCTTGCTAGACTTAGATGCTCAATCTCTAGCTTCCGCTTGTCGGAGACCCATGAGAACTTTGCTACGTTGCCGTTTCGCGTTGTGTAGCATGCAGTCCCTCGGCATACGACTGCGTTCTGCCGTACGAGCGGCCTACTGAGCCTGATTCTCGTCGCATCGCTGTCTATATCGTCTAGCACAACATAGCGGTGCTCACCTTCCCGTTCGATAAACGTATCTAGGCCCATGGCCTCTTCGTCCATTGTCGCGTACCCGACAAGAGCGCGTGCGAATTGGTCTGGCCTATCGTGGATGTTAAAGGGCCCCGAGCTATACGGTCCAGACCGATCAAAGACCCAGAGCTCTATCATAGATGCACAGAGTAGGAAAGCGTGGATAAATCTCCGCGTAGGCTGATCTCTAAAAATGCTTCGTATATGACGTGTTAGCTGTAGAAGGTCGGCCTTGAATCTGCTAGTTTCGTAGGATTTCTTCTGCTCCCCTATGACGAGGATATCTCTAAACATGAAAGCTCTATCCGTATGCGTGGGCCTTTGGAAAAATATATCCATCTGGCCTTTCCGTCCATCGAACTGGTTAGCGGCCTGGGTGGTATAAAGCTTGTGCGGTGCCCCGGCCAAGGCGCTTTCTTGTAGTGAACACAGCCAGTCCCAGACGGCCCATTCGTTAGTAACTGATGGAAATGCCGACCACTTCTTCCCATCGTACGCCGTCATCACGTCTTGTAACATTCTTCTCTGATCATCGCTCCAGTTCTGGGGGTTGAAGAATTTATCGCAGAAGCCGCCGACACCGCGAAAGGTGCAGTCCCTGATCTCGAAGAGGAGCTCCTTCTCGATAACCTCGCGTGTTTCGTTGTCGGCAAGCCGACCCGAGCTCGCCTTGACGGGAGTCCCTGCGAAGGTTGGGACGATACCAGTCGGTGGGGGCGTGTGTATGCCAAGAGCGTCGACGACGTCAAAGACTGAGGCCCAGACGACATGGTCGGGTGATTCGTCGACTATGTGTCGGATCAAGGGTACGAAGTGATAGAGGTCAAGTGTGCCTTTCTGAAGCTGCCGTCGTATGGATAGCAATCTGACTGCCATCCTGTCATCTCCGTCGCGAGAGAGGAGGCTATACGCAGCGGGCGACAGAACCAGACAGCCTAAAAGGTCGCTGATGTCTTCCTGTAGAGGCTCGTCCAGATCGGAGCGGCACAGCTGAGCTCGACATGAATCGAGAAAGCCACGGAGAGGTCGTGTCGAGATGATGTCGACATCCCGCTGGGTCAGGACCATATTGACGCTTCTTCGCGGGTAATATGTAGCCTGCTCGCTCGCTATGCTTGGAGGAGAAGAAGAGAGGGCGAGAGGCCGGGTAGGGATTCAGTGTTCAAATGATGCCAGGTAGCAAAAACTCGTCCTTCTCGGTGGTTTGTAGTGTGTTGTGTTGATCATCTCAACGAGGGACATGGCGGCTGAGGTTATCTGTCATAGTAACTCACGCCGGAAGAAGGTTTACTCGCTGTCCGTCACGTCAACCTTGTTTGCGGTCGCCCCTTCCATTCTGTTTGTTCGGAATGACTCTGGATATTTTACTTTTGTTCGGTATCACTCCGAAGACTGCGAAACTTTGGATGAGCTGCCCGCATATTATCTGGTCGGCCCTTCCATTCTTTCGGCCTTGTGTACGTATTCGATCAGATCGGTGGCATTGCTGAGCGATCTATCTGGCTGGTGCTCGGGCAGGCACGCATCTCAGCAGGCTCCGACGGCGGTCTCCTGAGTTGAAGGATGAGAATCTCAAGTTGAGGCGTCCCGCACTGACGAACCGCCGATCCCTTGCCCCGCCCCCTTCCCCGCCTGCACACACCCACAGTCGAGAGGCGGCACGATCACTACTGCCACCCCTCCAGCAGAGTGAGAAGGAGAGGAGGAGGAAGCCTCGCTGCCGGGCCTGTCACCGTTTTGGCTCCATGGTTCCCCGGGCAGGGATCTAAGCGCCGGGCTCCTCTCCCCCATCCCTGTCTTGGGCCCATGCATGGCTCTTTCGGGCCAGTGTTGTCCACGCCGAAACACACCACACAGCAGACACCATAGGACTTTGCTCGTGGCTCTCCACTTTTTGTTCTCTCACGAGTTTTCTTCTTTTCTTTTTTCTCTTCTTTTTTTCTTTCTTCTTCATTACTTTTATTTACTTTATTCTGGTGGAAAATTGCCACGCGTCTGTAGGAATGACGCGAGACATTGAACCAGATTGTTGGTACAGGTTACGGTTTGAATCATCGCGTCTCACTCTCTTTATTGCTACTATTACTACTACTACCATGACTATCATCAGTACTCCGTACTCCGGACAGGGCTGAGACAGAATCGTACGGCAAGGCATCGTCATGTATTGTCAGTGTAAATCTGCAACAAACGAGGAGAAAGGATCAAGAGTGGCGGTTATTCCTCCGCAGGCGGCAGGTATCTTGTTTACGAATGCACGTTGGTCGTAAGAGTATGCATTATTACCGCATGTGCATATATACTTATCCATACTACTAGTACGAGTAGTAATACGTCGTATACAAGATGAAAAGATGACAAGATAAAAAAAAAAGCATCTCCATTGACCTAGCCGTCATCCACTCACGCCGTTATGCCCATCCTAGGGATGTAACCTGACCTACTAGAGAGACCAATTCCCCCTCCCCCCCCCCCCCCCCCCCGGATACTCTCTTGAGCTTCGCGCATAAAGACATCGGCCAAGTCACCAATCATCGAGCAACGGTCTCGAAGGCTCAGACCACACACGCGTCTCTTGCTCGTCAATCCATAATCCTTTTCGTATTATAGTCTGCAGACCGCCAGGCTATTTGTCATCTTCATATCATGCCCAATCTCTGGTCTTTCACCGTAAGAATCACACAAGCGCTTGAGATCCGCCCTGAAGGGAGAGTGAGGGGGGGGGGGGGGGGGGGGGGGGAGGGCAGCCTTGATCTTGACTGCTCCATCTTCCTTTGTCCCTCCCCCCCCCCGTAGAATCTTGGCATTGACACCTCTGGTAACTGGGATATCTACCTATCCGACGTTGCCCTAGTTCCAACATTGCAGAAAGCATATGCCCCCCCCCCTCCCTCTTGAAGGTCCAGGCATCTTGCCCTGAATTCAGTCACCCCCAAAACTCCGCCTCCAGTGCCGATTCTGCACTGATACCCAAAGTGCAGAAGTCGACAAAGTCCTGCAGGACTATAAAAGGTTATACCGACCAACAGCATGATGCAATTCGCTGCAAAGGATGTGAAATAGTCCGACTATGCTGCTCTTCACTTTGCCCCCCCCCCCATTAGTTTGCGCGATCAAATTTCCCAGGACGGGCATTCTTGATGTACCCTTACAGAGAGAGGGTATAATCTGTCGAGGAAATTTGCTTTTTCGGTTTGTTTTTATGAGACTCCTTTTGTGCGAAAGTTGTCTTTCAAATTTCCATGCGCCATAGAAAGAGGAAAAGAAATCAGTCAAACGCCTCCCCACGAGAAGAAAGATAGCGGAAACAGAACATGATCAGAAAAATCCATGTCGCCACGAAAGAGTGTAAAACATGATGTCGTGTGTCTCTCTCCCCTTCCTCACATCTCGTTCAGTTCCTGCTTCTTCTCGTTACGGCCGTCGGGCGTGTACCTAGGGGAACGAATGTCAATCTGTATTCTGCTCTGACGGTTGGGAGGATATCGTATCCGGGAGCAAGCGTACTTGAGGAGCTTCTCGACGAGGTCGACGTGGGTCATGATCATACGGCGGCAGCAGTATCGCTTGAGACCGAGCTCGTCCATGGCGTCTCTGTTTCCATCCCGAATTCGTAATTAGCATTTTTCGTCCGCACAGCGTGATACATCAGTCAGGTCAGAAGACATACCCGTCAGTCTTCCGTGGGTCGGCAATCAGCTGAAGGTAGCGTTCCCAGAGGTCGCCGGTGACCTATTGATTGGGGGGGGGAAGAGGAGTCAGCCCATCATGTTGTCACTCAAGCACTAAACACAGCACACGGAACGTGCGAGATCCCATCATACCTTGCCACAGGAGAAGCACCGGATCGGGATAATCATCTTGACGGGACGAGATGGGGAGATGATCTGGCGGGTTGATCGTTTCGATATGGAAAGAAGAGAAGGTCTTTTTTCTTTGCGACAAAGTCGCGTTCAGCTCTCGTATGATGCTAGAAAATGAAAATTATAGATAAGCCGACGTATTTCCGGTACGCCGTAGCTTTTTTTTTTTCCTGTTCTCGTTGGCTTATCTTATCAGCTTGACTTTGCTGGAACCGAGCAAAAAAAAAAAAAAAAAAAAAAAGGAAAGAGAGAAAGAAATCGTCCATTAATGGTTGGCGGGACCAAATTTTTGACGTACCTCCCACTTTCATCCCCATCACATTTCCCAGGAAAGCCACCCTTTTCTTCTCCTCGTTCTTCTTCCTCTTCCTCTTCCTCATTACGTTTGGAAAGAGAAAGAGAGGAGGGTATGAACAAAGAGAGAACGGAAGAACGGACGGACGGACGATTCCAAACTGCCATAATGGCCGGCAATCGGAGATCTGCCGACGACAAGATCAAGAAGCGCAAGAGGGATCTCAACGATGCGGACGCGAAATCGAAGCGCCACAGGAAGATCAATGGAGCGGTAGAGAAGATACAAGACGCCAACGATGCCTCCGCCACGTTGGAAGAGGTCGGCCTGCGCCATCTAGACCTTGTCAAGCCGACGAGGACGGACAGCGAGGCAGGATGGAGAGTCTCCAAGCCCATGGGTGGGCGTATGCTAGACATCGACCCCATCTTGACAGACGATGAGCAGTGGGTTCCTCCCCCTCCCCCCTCCTCGCCTGCCATCATGGTCATCTCTCGCTTCTAACTGTGGGAATGATCCCGTGCGCAGATACCTGATCATCGCCTACAACACGTCGATACAGGTCTACGCAGCATCCGACTCCCTCCTCGTACGGAGGATACCGATCAGCACCGCCGACAGCAAGGCGCCCAATGACAGCAGCACCAGCAACGCGAAGCCCGCCGTCATCATCTCGATGCGCCTCTCCAAGAAGTCCCCCGACTCCGTCTGGGTGGCCACCTCGGACGGTCGCGTCTTCCACGTCAACTGGACCGGGACCCTGACCGGGACCCCGGACACGAGCTTCCGCACAAACTCCAAGACGGCCAGGGCCATGGTGGTCATGACCATCGGGGACGGCGGTAACGGCGGCGGTAGTGCATCCAAGAAGCCTAGCGTGGCTGGCGCTGCCGGCTCCGCCCACGACGTCGTCCTCGTCGTCGAGTCGGACAAGTCAGCCCGCCTCGAGATCACGGCCTACCTCCCCAGCGAGAGGGACGGCAACAAGAAGCCCCGGTCCAGGAGCCTCTTCAGCATCAAGAAGGGCGGCGGATCGGGCCTGCAGCTCCTGGAGTCCGCCAACGCCGGGCGCGTGCTGGTCGGCGCCCTGCACGACCGCGTGTTCCTCGGCGCCGCGACCTTTGCCGGCTCTGCCGACGGCCTCGACCAGCTCCGGTACGACTTCTTCTCCTTCGACACCCCGGACATCGTCACGTCCATCGACGTCAGGGCCCGCGCCGTCTCCGGCAAGAGGGCCAGGTCCTCGGATGCCAACCAGGTCGTCGATGTGCTCGTCGGAGGCGCCAGGGGCTCCATCTACCTCTACCACGACGCCGTCAACCGGCTCCAGGCCGTCGGCAGGGGTAGCTCGGACAAGGAGCCCATCCAGGCTCAGAAGTATCACTGGCACAGGAAGGCTGTCCACTCGGTCAAGTGGTCCCGCGATGGTGAGCTCTCTCTCTTCTTCCTGCTCCTTCCTCCTCTTATTTCGAACCCTCGTAGTGCTACGTGCTTGAATATTGTGATTTATGTGCTGACATATCTCCCCAGGGAACTACATGATCTCTGGTGGATCCGAAAACGTCCTCGTCATGTGGCAGATGGACACGTCCAAGAAGGATTTCCTGCCTCACCTATCGGGCAGCGTGGAGAACATTGTCGTGTCGCGGAGCGGCGCGTCGTACACGGTGCACCTGGATGACAACTCGACCATGATCATCTCCACGGCCGAGATGAAGCCGACAGCCTACGTGTCGGGGATCCAGTCGGCAGCCGTCAACGTCACCGTCCCCAAGGACCTGCTGGTGCGGCGCCTGTGGACGTCGCCCGAGCACGTGCGGCGGGTGGTGCCGGCGGCGATTCGGCCGTCGGACCCGTCCAAGCTCCACGTGTGCGTGGGAGGCGGCCAGCAGGCCACGACGTCGGGTGACTACTCGGCGCCGCTGCTGCAGTCGTTCGACCTCGAGACCTTCACCAGCGTCATGAAGCAGCCGCTGGCGCGGACGCAGCCGACCGACAACAACCTCAGCAACAGGGGCTACCCGATCGACGAGCCGCTCGTGACGCACGTGGCCTTCTCGGCCGACGGCAAGTGGCTCGCCAGCGTCGACGACTGGAAGCCGGCGGAGCGTGACGTCGACAACGTCAGCGGCGACCTGCGCGACCAGCTCGTCCGCGAGCGTCGCGAGGTGCACCTCAAGTTCTGGGAGATGGGCGCCTCCGGTGCGACCGGCGACGGCGACCAGACGGCCGCTCTGGTGTCGCGCATCAACGCACCCCACGCCACCGGCCACCCGGAGGCCGTGCTGGACCTGGCCGCCGCGCCCTCGTCCGCGTGCTTCGCCACCATCGGCGGCGACGGCGCGGTGCGTGTCTGGCGGCCCCGCGTGCGCAGGTCGGGCGGCATCGTCGCCAGGGGCCCCGACGGCCGCGACCTCTACTCGTGGGGCTGCAGCCAGGTGATAGCGGTGGGGGACGGTCTCGGCCAGGACGCGGCCGTCGACCCGGTCAGCTCGGCGGGCACGGCGTCGTCGGCCGGCCCGCAGGGCTCCATCGCCTTTTCCGAGGACGGGTCGACCATGTTCGCGGCCTTTGGCGGCGTCGACGCGGGAGTGGTGCACGTCATCGACGCGGCGTCGGGCGAGGTCGTCAAGACGCTGCAGGACCTGTGGACCGGCCGCCTCCGGTCCATCGAGACGCTGTCGTCGTCCTTGGTCGTCCTGTCCGACGAGCTGATCGTCTACGACGTCGTGGGCGATGAGCTGCGCTACGGCATCGCCATCCCCCCCGCCGCCGCCGCCGCCGCGGCCGATGGCATCCCAGGCGGTGCGGACCTCGTTCAGCTCAAGGTCGACCACCGCTCCGGCCACTTCGCCGTCTCCCTCCCCCTCGGGGAGGTGTCGAGCATCGGCATCTTCGACCCGCAGGACCCGGAGCCGCTGCTCGTGCGCAGCGTCCCGCACCGCATCGTCAGCCTCGTGGCTGCGCCCGACACGAGCGGCTTCATGGCGCTCGACGACGCCGCCCAGATCTGGACCGTCACCGAGGAGTCGGACCCCTCGTCGCTCGTCGCCGTCCAGCCCCTCGAGGACCTGCGCCTCGATGGTCCCGCCACCACGCACCCGGGCAGCTCGGTCGGCGCTCTGCTCGGGAATGAGGAGGGCGATGCCGAGATGGGCAGCGACGACGACGACGACGACGACGACGACGACGAGGGTGGCGCCGTGGTCGAGACCGAGGACACGCACATGGCCGACGACGACGATGACCATGTTCACGCCAGTGTCGTGGCTCAGCAGCACCTATCAGACATCTTCGATGCCGCGCCGGCGTTTGCCGGTCCTTCTATCGAGGACATGTTCTACAAGGTCACAGGTCTACTGGGTGGTTCAAAGCCGCTGGTACCAGCGGAATGAGTTTGGAGGGGAGGGGGAGAAAGAGCAGGGCGTTGTTTTTTGTTAAATTTTTTTTGGTGGGTGGAAGGGGAGGGGGGGG